GTAAACATCTCACAAAAATTAGTTTTTGGAATACTTATGTATGAGGCTAACAACTCGGAGTGTTACGTAATTTTTTTTATCAACAGTATCATAGTGAAATTCGTGTTACCTACACTCTACCCTTAAAAAAATAACTCAAGAACGTGTAAAAAAGGGAAAGGTTTTAAAAATAAATAGTACAATCGCTCAAATTGATCCAAAAAATTTGCCAGTTCTTGAACGTGCTATATCTGATTTTAAAGAGGCACAATCTTCTAATACTTCTTCTCTTTTAAATCATCAAGAAACATTATTTAATAACATATGTAATATGACTGATGATTCTAAGTCAAATGCTCTTGATCTATTTGATAATATGAAATATCCAAAAGGAAGAAACCAAGGAAAAATTATTTCTCCTCATATACAAAAAAAAGCAATCGATTTTTTAAATTATGGATTGTATAAAAAAAAAAAGCGCAATTAAAGATTTGGAAGAAGAAAATAAAGAACTAAAAAGTCAAATCAAGAAGTTTGGAAAAGAAAAAGAAAAATTAATTAAAAAAACACAATCGTTGGGTGCCAGTAAACAACATTTTAAAACAAAATCTGAAAAAAGAGTTTCTACAATTAGGTCTCTTGTTCGCAAATCTGGAAATTTTTCTGAAAATGAATTTAAAAATCAAGTTAAATCTCTCTTTAAAATAAATAAGAATGAATATTCGCCACAAATGGTTTGGCTTGCAACAAGAATTACCCAGGTTGGACAAGTATCAATGCATTCAACTGTAGAATGTCTACAATTAGTATATCAATTCTTAATTGGAGAAAAACCAAAAAAATGGTTATCACGTTCAACATTAAGTACTTGGCATCAAGAAGTAGCCAATTTAGAAGTTCATTCAACCATTACACAAATTTCTGAAGTAAATAGTTATGGTATAATGGTTGATGAATCCACACATGGTGAAAATAAATATTTGGTGATTGTTTTTGCATTTTGGAGCTATGTAGAAAACTTTCCTCTAGCAAAAGTTATTGAATTAAAGGTAATTTCAAAGTGTGATAGTGTGACAATTGCAACAAATGTCCTTAATTTGATTGAAGAGAAGAAGCTTGATCCAAAGGCATGTTCAGTGTGAGTTACTGATAATACAGCTTACATGTCAGGAAAACATAATGGTGCTGTTTTGAAATATAATCGAATGTCATCAAGTAATGGAGTTAGAATTGGATGTGGACTTCATATTATTCATATTGTACTTACAAATTTTGAGCAGGCAGCATTTGGTAAAAGAAAAAACACTATTGGTTTTTTGAGAGTAGCCCATCCATTCAATTTACTTTATTTAACATGGAGCCTCCATAATGGTTATGATTCAAGTGATAAAGATAAACCAATGAATATAACATCAGAGAAGATTAGAAAATTATATGATTCTCTTCTTGGATATCATTTCACCCAATATCAATTACCACTACAATCACGATGGGGATATGAATTACAGACTGCTAAGCAATATCTAGAACAATGTGAAACACATATAAAATTTGCCAATTGGTTCATTAGCAAAATGGAGAATTGTCCTAAAATGCCATCATCATACCTTAATGACTGGAAACTTTTTTTAAGTTGGTTGACAAGCACAAATTTAAATGTTCAAATACGTTGCTTAGTTAGATTGGGTGAAATTTTCTATGAACCATTGATGCAATTTATGATTGGTCAAGATCCACATCCAAGAATTTATACAGAATCAGGATTTAAAAACCTTCCAAATGGCAGAAGAGCACATGAAATGCCAGACAAAGTTACAGAATGGTTATCATTCCTTAGAGATTTAAAAGAAAATTTTGATATAATATTTGGGCAAGAATTATTGGAAGCACTCGAATCACTTGATTCAGATGAATGGGGTTCATTGTATGATAGCTTAGAAAGAGGTATAATTAAGGCATTAGAACATTTTGAAAATTGGATGTTACCATGGTTACATTTACCTTTATCTATTTGTCGTCTTGGAGGAGATAATGGCCAGGCATTTGCAAGAAGCTATTATTATGTGTTTTTTAGTAAATCTTGGGTAAATGAACCTTCACAAATTGAAATTAATTATGCTGAACAGTTACAAAATGATGTAGAAAATTTTTTTACTGATGATTTTGGTTTACAAAATCGTCTGACACAAAATCAAGAATTTAAAAAAGAATTTGAAGAATTTTGCAATACACTAGATCCAACCCTTTCTAATTTTCAATTATTATATTCATTTGTAAAGGAAAAAATTTATTGTATAATCATTCATCAGCAACAAGTTGAAGGATTATTCAACAAATTAGATCTTAAAACACATGATAATATGTCAATTAATACTAAAAAAGCTAAAATTCAACTCACTAATGGTCCAATTGATAAGATAAATATAGAGAATAATTTAAATGAAATCAGAGCTCAACAAAAGAGACAAAAGTTAAATGTTTTACAAGAAAATATTCAACAACATTATGGTCAAAATTATGCAAATTCATTATATTCCAATTTATTTCAAAACTAATAATGAACATTATATTTTCTAAATAAAATTGCAAATAATATGATTTTTTGCCAATTTTTATTTTTTTTCTAGTCATCACAGTAATATTGTGAATATTTTTGGAAACTCTAAGCTACAAAACAATACAAATTTTATTTTTAATAAATATGGTTTGTATATTTAGACCAATCTAGTAATTTATATAAAATAATAATTTCAATAACTTTTTGTTTTGATACTTTGGGCGTTTACAAAGATAATTTAGTCTAAATGAAAAAGAAAGTTAAACTTATTTTTTTTTTCATGAATGAAAAACATAAATCTTTATTTATTAAAATTACACACAAATATTTTCAAAATCTATCTAGTCCACGAATTTTTTAGCCACAGTCATGAAAATAGTATTGAATGAAAGCTTAGAACACATACTCATTCACTTTATCAGCTTAGTTTTACTATGCTTGATTATAAAAACTATATTAAAAAATGATTTAAAATAAAATAATAAAACAAAAACGAAAAATCTTTTTTACAAACAAAAAAAAAAGGTAAGCCAATATTTTTAAAATATAGGCCATAAACTACTCTCATACCAATTTTCGACAATAGTTTATTTGATAATTATGGAGGAGATGGAATTTGAAATTCGTTAATTTTTATTTATTAAATTTTTTGTAGGATCTGCAAAAAAAAATCTCTACATATTAATTTTTATATGGTACCATATATAATTTTGATCTACATATTTGACCGACCACCCCAACGGAACATGTAAAAATTTTTATATGAAAGTTTTTAAAAATCTACAGGTGCTAAAGAGTAAACTCTTTTTTTTACTTAAGTAAAGACAAAAAACAACTGATAATATGTTCTTTGGGATTTGTTTTGTTTATGGATGTAAAAAAAAATTATGTGGTGGAACAAAAACATAGTACAACTAACTTTTCATGCAAAGGTACTCAATTAGTTGTTTTTGTGTCAATTTTCCCTCATTTTTTACTATGTACGACTCACTCATTTATTCGCGGATCATCAATTAATTATTTAACAATTGAATTGTAAAAATAGAGTGTTATGTGTTTAATTAAATTGACAATTGAATTGATTATTTGTTTACTACTAAAAATGCTTTGATCAAGTTTATACATTCATTTTGCAAAGCTGCATTGCAAGCTTCTTAAATCCTGACTTTAACACTTACTTTGATCAAACCTGCCCATATAATTATTGAATAATTGATAAAAGGTTTGTTTTGCAAACTCATTCTGCAAGTTTCATAGACCTTGGCTTTAACACTTACTTTGATCAAACCCGCCTATATGATTATTGAATAATTGACAAACATTTGTTTTGCAAGCTTCATAGATCTTTTCTAATACTTACTTTCCCTACACAAAGTTTAGGTACTTAAAATGTACTTAAAATATACTTAAAATTTACTAATGGAAGAGAACAAGAACATTTTTAAGTATGTTTTAAGTATATGAAATTATACTCAAAACACACTTAAAATATACTATATACTTAAAATATACTTAAAACATACCTTTGATGGTAAACTAGCATACTTGAAATACACTTAAAATACACTTGAAATGTTACTTAAAACATACTTAATTTTGTTCATTATTAAGAAAGGTATGATTTAAGCACATTTTAAGAGGATCTCAGACAATTATAATTGAACTGGTATTGAGAAAAGTGGGTAGCGATCTTGTTAAAACACCAGTCAGATCTTCAAGCATTTACATAATAAAAATTGGGTTTTTAAAAAATGGCCCAAAAAGGAAACTCACTAGCCATTTTTAGTAAGATATTCTGAGTATTTTTCACAACTTTTTATGTTTTCTTACATACCAGTTCAAATATGATTGTCCAAGGTCCTATTTTAAGCACCTTCAAGTAGATTTTAAGCATGCTTTAAATACATTTTAAGCATCTAAACTTTTTGTAGGGCTTGATCAAACCCGCTTATATGATTTAATAATTGATAAAGTGTTCATTAAATATATTTACAAACAGCTTCATAGATCTCAACTTTAACATTTATTTCAATTACTCCTATATATACAAAAAATTGAATAATTGATAAAACATTCATTTGCAAAACTTGATTTGCAAATAACACTTACTTCAATCAAACCTGCCTATATAAACTATTGAATAATTGACAAATGTTCATCAGTATATTTTACAAACTTCTTTGGAAGCTTTGTACATTGTCATATATCTTGTATTTAACAGTTACTTCCACAAATTTGCAACCTATCATCAACTCTACTTTATTCTATTGAATTTTTATTTTTTTAGATTAGGCAGGATTATACAATAAAAATTATGGAATAGAATTTATCCAATGAAATGTTTTAAACTTTATATATCCCATGCACAACTTGAAAAAAGTTGGTATATAAGATTCATTTTTCCATTACTAGTACAGTCAAATCTTGATAAACCAAACTACCATAAACCGATTTTTGCTTTATAACAATGCAAAATTGGCTAACTAAATCATATTTAATAAAAATTATTTCGATAAGCCAAATTTTATTATAATTTCTACTTTACTTGATAAACCAAACTTAATGGTTTGTACAAGATAATAAAAATATAGCTTTCTAAGCCGAATATGATCATAAAAATTCGTCTTATGATG